GGAAGCAAAGTTTCCTTACTTTAGCAAAGGAAAACCAGTCTCCTCTTGGCTTATATCGAAATCCTCCGACATTCTTTACAAATCCTCGTTTTGTACTTCTAATTAGTGACCGTTGTTTTGTTTTGATCTCTCCGCTGCGTTTCTGCGTGCGTCACTTCTGAGCGGCGCATGCGCAAAGCCGACCTCCATACGTCATCCGCCCGGAACTGCTTCCAGTGTACAAAAGTGAGCGCAAGCTACATTAAAGTGATTATTACATTTTGAATATGGATATTTTTCTTACAAAAACGCATCAATTCACTACAGAAGGCCTTTGTTCACCCCCTGGAGCCGTGTGAGACACTTTTTTTTTTAATGGATGGGCACATTTTATTTAACTGCTTTTGTACGGATGCATGCAACACCCGCTGAGTGGCATGAAACAGCTTGAAAGATCAAATACCATTTTTAATATAACTCCCGACTGCATTCGTCTGAAAGAAGAAAGTCATATACACCTAGGATGACTTGAGGGTGTGTAATTTATGGGCTAATTTTCATTTTTGGGTGAACTAACCCTTATATACTAACCGAAAAGTTCTTCTACGTTCTTCGCTCAGAGGCAAACAGAAATTGAATTAGTTGCCAACGGTTTGCTGTTTCTGATCTCTTTACTGTGTCTGATCTCGAGTTTTCTGGAAAGCTTGCGCTTAGGTGATAAAGAAAAATCAGCAAGCTGCTTCAACCCACCGAAACAAACTCTAAAAGAAGTCTCAAGAAACAAACTCTCTTTTCGGCCAGATTTGTTTAAAATTACCTCACACCCATTTGTTCTTGGATTGGGCCCTTTAGCCTTCTGGGCAGTGTTATTTTAGTATTATTTATATACTATAATAGTTTTTATTAATGTTTGAGTCAACTTTTATTTTTTTAAATTTTCAGTTTAATTTTTAGCAATTTTGTTAAGTGCTTTTGTAATTTTTATTAGTTTTTTCTTTAATATTGCTATTTGTTTCAGTTTTTATATATTTCCAGTTATTTTAGTAAATTTAGTACTTCAATTTGACAAGGGATCATTTCTAATTTTTGTTAATTTTTTAATCTAATATTTATAGTTTTATTTTATTTAATGAACAAAAATAGTTTGTTTTAGTTAACGATAATTGCCCTTTTTAATATTTTTTGATTTAGTCGTAATCATTTAGTTCAAACCATTTTTCTTCAATAAGAACTTTAGCAGAATGTCGACGCAGCTCTTTTTATACAATGAAAGTAAATTAGGGATGAACCTGTCACGCGCTTAAAAAAGCATTATAGTAGAACCATAATAGGTGTTCACAACACTTTTATGGTGGCATTTTGTTCTTTTTTTTTTGGAGCTTGACAGGTCGTGGTCACTATTTGTTTTTGTATGTAAAAGCACATAACACACATTCTGTCTGAAATCTCCTTTTGTGTTGCACAGAAGGAAGATAATCTGCATGAGAGTGAGTAATGGAGTGGCGTCACTTCCTGTCTCTGCTGTGTATCTGTCAGGTATGGGGCGAGTAGATTTTGTACCTGTCCAGCCTGCGGTGACCAGCCCCAGAGACATGGCTCTAGCTGCGGTCATCTGCAGTGCGCTGGCCACCGTCCTGCTCGCCCTCTTCATCCTGTGCATCATCTACTGTAAGAGACAACTGCTGGAGAAGAAACCAGGTGAGTCACGCCATCTGCTTTCTCCCCTGATTACTTATCAGTGCTTTAGTATAAGCGACATGGTTTATGATTATAAATCTTATCGAATAATTGTATAAATGTATTATTTGTGCTATTAAATTATCTCTATTCGTGCTATTAAAGTATCTGTAATCACGCCTTACAAATATTTACAGTATCATGGTAACTATGATTTTGTAGTTAGTTACATACATGCCAAATGCCATCCATAATTACTACAATTCTTTGTATATCTGTAAAAATCATAATTCACGTGGGAGCTTCTTTAAAAAGTGTAAGAAAGCATATGAGTCTTTCTATCATTTTGTTTATGCATTTATTTGATGGCAGTGGTACTGCTGTTTTAAATTATTTGTGTAAAATGGTTAGCATAGTCAATATTAAAATTTAATATTTTTTACAATTTTCTCACAATTTTGCCATGTTGATACAAAAGTTGACACTGTAATGAATGATACTGACAGATCTGACTTAATTTCCGATGATAAAATTTGCCTACAGCAAATAAACAATATTTCTTGGTGGATAGTTTTGATTATTGGTATTAATAATTACACTTACACTACATTCAAACGTTTGAGTTTAATGTTTTTTTTTTTTGAAAGAAGTCGCTTATGCATCAAGGCTGCATTTATTTGATCAAAAATACGGTAAAAACACTAATATTGTGAAAATGCTACAATATATTTTAATATATTAAAAAAAAAAGATTTTCTTTGAACAGAGCAGCGTTTATTTGAAATAGAAATATTTTGAAACAATGTAAAGGTTTTTATGGTCACTTATGATCAATTTAAAATATCCTCGCTGAATTAAAGTATCTTACTGACCTTAAACATTTGAACGGTAGTGTAATTCATATAATATATTTATATAAATAATTTAATATACACTGTCGTCTTTTATTATGTTACTGTTGCTGCTATTATTTAAAAGCATGAGGTCATGCATTACAAGGATTTTTATGGAAGCCCGTTTCCGCCACTGAATAAAAAATAAAAAAAAAGGTAATTGCGACTTTTTATCTCACAATTCTGACTTTTTTTCACAGAATTGTGAGATATAAACTCACAATTGCGAATTATAAAGTCAGAATTGCGAGATATAAAGTCCCAATTGTGAGATAAAAACTCGCAATTCTGACTTTTTTTCTCGCAATTGCGAGTTAAAAAGTCAGAATTGCGTGATATAAACTCACAATTGCGAGTTAAAGTCCAATTTTGAGGGGGGAAAAAAAGACTGATATGTTCTCAGAATTGTGAGATATAAACTCGCAATTGCGAGAAAAAAAGTCAGAATTGTGAGTTTATATCTCGCAGTTCTGACTTTATTTCTCACAATTGCGAATTTATATCACGCAATTCTGACTATTTCTCAGAATTGCGAGTTTATATCTCTTAATTATGACTTTTTAACTCGCAATTGCGAGTTTATATCACGCAGTTCTGAGAAAAAAAGTCAGAATTGTGATATAAAAAGTCGCAATTACCTCTTTTATTTTTTATTCAGTGGCGGAAACGGGCTTCCATAGATTTTACCATGATTTAGGGTGTAAAAAAGTAGTTTAATATTATATTTTAAACTTTGTCTAATAATACAATAATGAATCTTCATAACAGTCGTTTCCTGTTGTTTCGTGTGTCATTGTCTCAGTTTCCTTGAGGTCCCATGAGGGTCCTTATGTGGGGTCCGAGTTGTCTTGTCTGGATCGGAGAGCTCTGGAGTTTTCCCAGCGGCCTTGTCGTCACTGTCGTCACGGATCGGGACAGACCTGCGGTGAGTTTCACATTCACACACCTTTCAGAAGTCTTAGTGTGTGTTGAGGATTTGTGCGTTCTCTCTGGAGCTCCTGGACGAGTCCAAACAGGTCAATTAGCCAGTAATTATCTGTCAGGTGATCATTGTATTAATCACAGACAGTTCTGGAGTATCACAGGAAGGATGATTGTCATGGCATTAGATTCATGTGCGCTTTGTTTTCCAGGTCCTGTGCACCTGATCCCGTCTCTGTGCTGCGATGACACCTGGAGCCAGAGCCGCGGCCGAGAGACTCGTCCCTTTCACTCTCACAACGGTCTCAATGAAGGGTGGGTCCTTCAGCCAGACACATTCACATTCAAATGAAGTTAAAGGATCAAGTTTAGATCTTTAGTCTGGCAGATCTAGATCAAATTATAATCATTGCTCTTAATAGTGTTCATCGTCTGTTTGATTGCGTCATTAACAGAATTTTTACCGTAAATTTCTGCTAGGGCTGCACAATTAATCGAATTTCTAATCGCGATTACAATTATGGATGCCACAATTACG